GAACATAAATAAGAATAAAGTGGTAGAGTTATTTTTTTTTAAGAAGTGACATGAAATAATGCTTTCACCTATAAATCACTGGACTGTTTTTTTAAAATAAACTATTTGGAGTGGTTTATTCTGATTCTATTTTTGATCACATATTTATAGAAAGTCATATAGATACCTAAAGCCACACTCCAAATGCCAGAAGTTCTACTGGGCTTATGAATTGCTTGATATTAGTGCATTCATACATTTCTCTTAAATTAAACTAGTTTTGTTTTTCAATTTTTACACCAACAATTTAAATAAAAATCAGTGGCCTTATTTTTAAACTTTTTTTGTGAAAAGCTTAAAATATTTCATAGTATAAACAAAGAAAGTAAATGGAACAAGTCAAATGATTTTACTTATGATACTTACAAAGATCATGAACAGATCAGTTTAGGTGTATAAAAACACAAGATACATATTATTTACCATCTTCATTAGCTGAATAAAGTCTAGACCCATAGAACTGGCACAGTGAATTCAGGGAGACCTACATAGCCAGGCAGGAGCTGCCCAAGAAAACTAGAGGGCTCTGATGGGATGCACCTCTCTGAAGATATCTCTAGTTCCCTTAATCAGCAACAATCCCAGCAATGCAGACCACTGAAGACAGCCCTGATGTGTGGACACCTGGAGCTCACACTGGGAACGATAATGCTATAGACAATGTTCGTGTCCCCCAAAATGCATATGTTGAAATCCTAACCCCACAGTGTGATGGTATTAAGAGGTGAGGCCTTTGGGAGGTGAATAGATCATGAGGGTAGAGCCCTTATGAATAGGATTAGTGCCTTTATGAAAGAGACCCCAGAGAGTTCCCTCCCAGTTTCTGCCATGTGAGGACACAGCAAGAAGGTGGCCATCTACAAACCAGGAATTGGGTTCTCACCAGACACTGAATCTGCCAAAACCTTGATCTTAGACTTCCCAGCCTCCAGAACTGTGAGAAATAAATGTATGTTGTTTATAAGGCACACAGTCTATGGTATTTTGTTATAGCAGCCTGAATGGACTAAGACAGAAGGTCACTAATCAATGCCACAAAGATCAATATACCAGAAGTGTCTCTCATCCGTGGCCTCAGACAGAGCTTAAGCAGTGGCTTTGAAGGACAACAAAGGGTTTGTCTCTAACAGTAGACCCAAGACACCCAGCATGAAGTTGTAAGGACCCTCTGAGAACCAATAAGCCTGGTGGTGCATGTCATTGACAAATTCACTTGCAAGAGTCTACAGAGATTCACTAGAATTTCAACATTATAAAACTCAACCCACTTACTTGGTTTATTTAAACAATTTGCATAAATGAGAAACATAAGAGGAGATTTAAAACATTCTTTTTATATTACAAACAGATCCTTAGAGAGTATTTTCTTGAATGTTGCTATTGGACCCATTAGTGTTTAAAATTTTCCATGTTTCCTCCTTCTGGCATGAATCCTCACACTAAAGGCTGCAAGCCAAAAACTCAGAGGTAAAAATTAGCTCGCCTTCTAGAAAACAACCTGGGGGAGAGTGAGGTCACACTGAAATAATGAACTATTATAAAGACAGCTTCCATTGTTGACAGTCTATTAGGAGGAAAGGTCTGATAGTCCCTTTTTTAACTTTATTTTAACTCATAAAGTTAACAAATTAACTTTATTATTTCAAATACCTATAAAAATCTAATAATATACTAGGTGTTGTTTACTCTATCTTAAAACTAGGATAGGGGTCAGAAAAATGAAATAACTTGTTCAAGGAAATGGACCAAAATTTGAACAGAAGTCAGTGTGATGCCAGAGTCCACACACTTTCTACTGTTTCAAACCCTATCTAGTCTACTATTGATAGAAAATACAATAATTAATTATATTATCATTACATTAAGACATATGTGCGTGTACAAATTGATATACATGTGTTTTTGTGTCTATGTATATGTATGTATTATATAGAGATAGATAAAGATACAGAACATAAGCGAGAATAAGCCAAGGGAAGGAGCAGGTTTCCCATAAAACAGGATGATCTGGTGGACATGTGCACTGTGAGATGTTTACCACAGTCAAGTTGATGGACCCATCCAATATCTCACATGGTTCCTGTGTGTGTGTGTGTGTGCGTGCGTGTGCACGTGTGTGTTGAGAGCACTTGAGATCTACTCTCTTGACAAATTTGAAGTGTCTAAGTGCAGTATTGTTAACCATGGTCACCATGCTGTACATCAGATTCCCCAGAACCTGTTCATCTTGTAAACGAAAGTGTTAGCTTTATATTTTGCATAATTCACACAGACAGGCTTGATTAGTGTAGCTGTGTTAAAATCTATGTTTAGTTTAGTGCCACCATCTGAAACATGTTTGGTTGACATTGTTGATATGAACAATAAAACAATTCATCTCTATTGATTCATATCCAGGTAGAAGTAGATAATTTCATGATTGGGAAGGTAGGCACCATGAACTATTTGGGTGACTCTATTAAAAAAAAATTATATATATATATATTTTTTTTTTTTTTTTTTTTTTTT